GGTTGGGTTGGTGACCCCCCCTACCCCCCCCCCCCCCCCAGCAAAAACTCTCCACTGTTCACAGTTCTGAGCCACTCTGTTCACTTGAATCATGGAGCCACAGAGGTCCGTTGCAATATCATGTGTTAGATCTGCTGTTTCCTAGAGATTTGTATTTGCTAATACACTAATGTCATTTCTATGTCTAGTCTCCTAATCATTTGTATAGATATTTGCCTACCTGATACAATCTATCTGAACAAAAACTGGCATGTTGTACACAAAAAAAATCATAAAACATCAAACTGAGCACTATACACTATACTGTCCACTAACACTTACAGTCCAACAGGAAACCATGTTCATTAATTATAACCAGACCTTATCTGGACAATGACTGGACACTGACCACCATAAAACACCCCTAAGACACCTGCTCTGTCCCTTACATTCAATTACAGGTAAACTCCACAGTTAAACAAAACACCAGGTAATTTGTGGGCAGGACAACACCTTTATCACCCCTATCTCAATCCCTCTTCCTTAGACCAAAGATGAGTAATTACCACGGCCCTTTTGTTCCGTTACTTTCACTGTCTAAAGATCAAAGGGAAAGACGGCACACAAGCCAGCTGGGTTATAACCCTCTGGAGACGGTATTTGTGTGGCTTGGGACATAAAATGTTATAAGATCTATTACTTCTATCTCCAAGAGGACAAATAAGTACAATCGGATCATCAGGTGTAAAATATATAAATGTCCTGAAGTAGAAGTTCATTTCATACTATTAGCCTCGACAGGATAATTTCTTGGCAGATTTGTCTTACCTACACACAGGAGAGAGCGATGGGAAGGGTTTTTTTCACATTGAATTAATGACACAACAAACCTACTAGCTCCATTTGGCCCCATTCAGAATAGTGGACTCACTAGTTCGAGGGTCAAACATGGTGACCCACTACAAAGCTTGCAGTCTAATCCGCTAATAGACACTGAATAGATATCCCAAGGGGAAGTATACAAGTGGGTAGGCCATATTTGACCCTCAGACTAGTTAGTCCCCTATTCTTAATGGCCCCTTAGATTCAAGGATGACATCAGAGAACACTCCCAATAAGATTGAAAGCATTTCCTGAACATGAAAATTTATACCATTTTTAATCCATCCAATTGCCCAATAAAAAGAAGGAACCCGCCAGTAGGAGGAAAAAAAACACCTCCACTTTTGTCCCAGTTGTCTTACATAGGAAAGAGATTGAACATACCTGTAATTCTGCAGAATATGAGAGCCAAAGGCTGAGTGACACTTTCCTCTAAACAACAGCTGTAATTAAATCTTATTATTTCTTTGAAGATTTCTTTAGCTTATGCATTTGGCCACAAGATAAAAAGAAAAGAGAAATATGAAAAGCACTTTACCTATTCAATTTGGCAATATTCCTAAACACTGCCTATGTTTATAGAAAATCTTGAATATGTTTAACTATTTGTATCTTGAAAGCGTTTTCATTTGGCCTGCACATTTTACTTAACAGTACAGCATTCACAGTCTAGGTGTCAAATCTGCTGTACTCTTCAAAGTTTTTTCTCTATTTTTATGGTTTCTGCATTATATCCATCCTTGGCACCCACATTTAACCTACTACGTTTTCTGTTTACTAGTTTCCAGAGTTTTTATCCTGTTGAAAACCTACGCAGCTGAAGCCTGTTCACATTAGAAAAAGAGCAAATCTAAATCGATCTATAGTGTCCCACAGCTCACCGCCATTACCCTGTCAGTTGGTGGGTGCTCAGCATGCAGTTCAATCAATAGGTCAGGGACAGATCCGGAGATATTTTCTGACAGTCTTCCAAATTATCTTTGTTAATCCATCCTTCATTTATTAACCCCTCTTCTGATAGAAAAATTAGATGCCAATCAATGTAAACTTGAAAAATTCTCACCGTCCTTGGAAAGACCCAAAAGACGGCTTCCATCTACCCCTGTGCGCCTCCAATGTGTAGCATTAATTGCAGTAACTTTATAACAGAGAAAGGAAACCCCTGTATGCCCTCCAATGTGTAGCACTAATTGCAGTAACTTAATAACAGAGAAAAGAAAAAAATTGCAGTCAATTCCATTGTGCTCAGGCAGGTCATTTTTTCCTTCTTTTGAAACACATTTCCAATTGTCAAGTATGAATACACCTTACAGCTCATTTACTGAGAATTTCCCAATCCCATATTATATGAGTAATACAAAAAAAGAAGGTTTATGAATTAAATCAGAACAATTTTCAGGCCTTTTTTTTTTTTTTTTTTGAAATAGAAATAATAATGCATAGGCTGCGTCAGCTTCAATTGATTGCAACAAAATTGAACAGTCCCTTGTGTTAAGAGGCAAGGTCAGGGTTTTGGTGGCCCGAATATGGAAAAAATACACTGATGACTATTAAAACAAGTATTTATGAGAGTAAAAAATGATGAAATAAAACAAAGGAGAGGCAGGGAGCGATTGCGAGGTTAATTGTCTCCGATCAACCGTATCATTTTAAATCACCATTAATTATGTGATGACTGTGCAACAAGAGTATGTGAAGGGAAAAATAAAACTTGCAAGGAATGAAAATTTTCTCACAAAAAAATGCATTCCCTAATTTATCCATTAATAAAGAAACAACTGTGCGAGAAAATCTAGGAGAACAGCCAGCTAAAGAAAAGAAATGTTTATTTCTTTTAGAATTCAAATTCTTCCACCTTAAACAAAAATAAGTTTTACGTAAACATGAACAGAAAAATAAATATGCCTTAACAGGAAACATGTTTTTATCAGTTGCATTAAAAAAAAATCAACTCCTAATTCAGAACTACAGATGGGATCTTATGATCCAAACACAGCTGTTAAATAAAAATAAATGCTTCAAAAACACACTTATGACATTTCCTACAAAGAGCATCATTAATGCTCCATCAATGAACTTCAAAATTTTCAACTTAATCCGACTTTAATTTTCCACATCCGCCATCACAGAGAACAGAGAACAGGAGGAGACACAGCCAGCAGAGCATGTAATAAAGAATACACAGAACAGAAGAATAGGACCAAGTTTAAAACCAGGGCCTATCCATACTGTCTGACAATAGAATGAGTCTTGATCAAAAGTTGAACTTCACTTTGAGATAGAGAAATTTTAGTCAACTTCCAAACCAGCATAAATAATAAAATAAAATAAAATTAAATTAAATTAAATAAAAAATAAAGATCTATAATTTTTTTTTTTCAAATTCATGTCAGTGTGTCATTCCAGCACACAACCTTCCAGGAATCCTGAGATTATGCAAAGCAAGGAGCGTGAGCTATTTGTAAACAACATCTTATCCAAAATGTCATGTCGTTATCTCTCACGCTGAGAAATCTCAAACACGATAAGAACATAGGTAAACATGCTTCGAGACATAACATGATTAAAGATTTCATTATAAATCTGTATGTGGTATGATAACATCTCTTGACAAAACATAGTTCTTTTTACAGTTCGTTTTATAAACTTATACGATTATTTACTAAACTGGCTTAAAAGGGATCTTTATTTTTTATCGGGGAGGTCTCAAGGTTGTTAGTTATATCATCAAGGAGTTCAAACTTTATTTAGTGACCACCTCTCTTTTGAATATGAAACCATCAGTAAAACCGGTATACATCATTTCAACAAATTGATCAATCTACTCACCACATTATATGTGTTTACTTCTACTCTAATATCAAAACCAATGCATCATACTTACATGATTATGAAGGCACAGGTCCCAAAAAATAAAAGTACTTTTGTGAAAATTCTTTTCAACTATTATCTCTGATGCAGCGCCTTTCTCAAAATTCCCTCTCTGACAGTGAACAATCAATTTGGACTAAAAATAAAAAGTCTGGAATGGCCTTCCAAAGTTTCTATCTGTCCAGAGTAACTGCTTCTCTAACTACCTATCCCACTCTCTTCAGAAAGGTAAATATATACAACAGTCAGTGTGAACAACCTCTCTCCATCAAGAGAACACCTGACCATTAACGCAGGTACAATAATTTTCTCATCAGAACTTGACTGTTCTGTGCGATGCCTGTCTTATAACTTTCAAGTCAACCTCGAATAACATTCACATCCACTGAGTCTCTGGCTCTGTCATGAGGAGGGAATCCTCTGATTCACTGCTCCATGTGTCACTGCATCTGACCAAATGCACCTGCAAGACCTCGTTCTGCTTGAGAACGTTTCTCTGCCATCCTTTCAAAGCACCTGCAAGACTGCCCAGCTCCCTGCTAGGGCACTTT